ATTCATATTGTTAAAAACATCGAGTTTACTGATTTTGAATTATGCTTAATTGATTTTCCTAGTTAGTTTTTTCAATTAACAGGGCTGAAATGTGCCTTAAAAACCATCGTTCAACAGGCTGAACTGTGCCTTTAATCATAATACTAATAGTATAGAATATAGAAGTATACATATATGTATCTTTCAATCAATTTTGTTTAATTCCCATGTAATCTTTTTCCTACTAGCTCTTAATTAAGATGCAGAAACCAAGTAATATAATCCTTGAGAGTTGTTTCGAGCAAATGTTTCCTAGACACGTATATTCCATTGCAAACAGACCGAGAAGGACGTATTACCTATACACTATGAAAACAGATTAGTTAAATTAACATTGAGAGTTTTATTCCCGAGTCAACGGCGCGGAGCGCCGTTCCGGGGGTAAGCCCGGGGCGAGGGTACTAATTCCGTCCGGCTATTTACACCCGGGGAAAGGAACGCACTAGCGAAGTCTAAAGTTCATCAAATATCGCGGGCGTATGGTGTATGGGTGGTCATCTCACTGATCACAAAATATGGCTGTTTGCCAGGAGTGTTTCACCATGGCCATGGATTGTAAAATAACAATTGTATTTTATTATCCATGGTTTCACATAACAAATTGTAAAACTTTTTTTCAATTTTTAAACGTAAACATCAGTTAAGAATTGACAGTGCATTTTTTAAGGATTCTTCAGTGGTGGGGCAAAACTGCCAAAGGGCCCATTCTCTCCTTGCCCTCCCCCCAGGATACGATCGCCGAAGGTGTGAGCCGAGTACCGCAGGCACGAGTTAGGAAGGGGGGGTCTGGGGGCTTCCCCAGGAAAATTTTTAAAATTTGTGTCTCTGAAATAGCATTTCGTGCATTCTGAGACAGTGGCGGAAATTCACTTTTACCGGTCGGGGGCAAAGCCCGACAAAACTTTCAAATTCCCGACAAACTCCCCTATTTGCGCTCGAAAAGGCTATTTTTAGCCCTCTTTTAAGTCAAAATTTCCGAAAATTCGTCATTTTCCGTGAAGGTGGGGTTCGCCCTCCTGCCCCACCAAGATTTCCGCCACTGTTCTGAGAACACATTTATAAAAAATCGCAGCTTCTCAACTAAGTTTTAATAAATTGGTGAAATTTGTAATAAATTGCATGCTAAACAGTTCAAACACAAAATAAGTTTAAGTATGCTCACCAACAAATTTGTTTTTAAACGTCTTTTCAATGTTAAAATAAACTCATTTACGCAATACATGGCCTATAGGGCCCTGGCTTTGGGGCAATAAGCCATTTTTTTCTTCAGTGGTGGGGCAGAGGAAGGGGCCCAGTGGGGCAAATGCCCCACCAGTTCATGAATCATGGTATTAAAAAATGCCTTGAGAAATCCTAAAGTATAAGGCAAGTTTGTTTCAATTCACAATTGTTTATGTATGACTTTGTATTATTATAAACGTTGTTTTTGTTGTTCAAGTCTTTCCTATACATTGACATTGTATGCGAAAGTTTCTTAGTTAAATTAACTTTTGTAGAAGTTCATGATAAAAAGGAAAGCAAATTATTTTCATTAGCGTCCTGTATGAATTCAATTTATTTCATTTCAAAGTGTGAGTCAAGTTGAAGCTCGAGTTGAAGAGTTCATCGGCAAAAAAGCAGTTACTTTGAATTCACATTTAAAAACGTTTTACGAAGAGTTTCGTGTTGAATTTTACATTAAAATAAAGCCCATAGAAAGCAAAATAATACACCTACTTTATATATTTTAGAAATTGATAGATAGTTCTGTATTTAAAAGTGTTCAAGTTTCATTTATTTTTTTCAGTTTTGACTTTTGTACAAAAAATTAAAAAAAAACAATTATCGTGTTGCCATTAGTAGTGGGCGATAACACTACTAAAGTATCGATACCATCTTTTGAATTGTGAATATCGAAAGTATCGATACTTTTTTAAAAAAGTATGAGCTATAACCTGTGCCTTGCCCTCGGTAGGAACGAGTGCTGCCTGCTCTTGCCTGCTCTCTCAGGCAAAATGTCTCTAGTATGTCGTGTGACCGGATTATGGTTAATATTTAATGTTACATGAAGTTCTTCGTTTAGTTCTTTGCCAAACGAGCATGCAGTAACAGTTTTTCACAGTTTTTTTTAGGTTTTTCTTTTTCGTGCTGGAAATGGCATGCAGAAATGGCGTCAGCATTTAATGTCAATCACAAACGTCCTCGTAGTGTTGTGGTACGAACATATTTAAGTGTATGAAGTACTTCGTCTACTGACCAGTATCGGTATCGAAACAGTGGTATCGATAAAAGGTAGTACTACTCGGTATCGTATCGAAATCGATATTCGCAGTATCGCCCACTACTAGTTGCCATGGCTGAATATGATGTGAGCAACGCGAGCCTGCGTTCAGTGTTGGCATAATTACGACTACTTCATGTTGAAACAATGTTTGGAAAATAGGCGAGGCGTTGTTGCATGCATGTATTTCTAGTACACACGTAAAAATTGAGAAAATCAACAACTTGTTCCAGGTTGATATCAACACTGAACAGGCGTGAACAAGGTTGTGCGGCCCACTATGAACAGTATCGTCAACATGTTGTTACAGCATTGTTCAACTGTAACAACTTGGAACAACATGGTTGACAACTTGTTCATAGTTGGCCGCACAACATTGTTCACGCCTGTCGATATCAACTTGGAACAACCTGTGCGTTTTTAGCCGTGTAGTACAGTGTGATAATTTTAGGTCAGCTTAGTGCACATTAAAGGACATGTTAGTCTTCTGCATGTCCTAACCATGCTAAATTCAGAAAGTCTGAAAATGCAAAGTCGAACAGCTCAGGAAAGATCACTTTCCAGAAGCCCTGCATGTACATTTAAGAACATATGTATTACCCCAGTCTTCATGATCTATAAGAGACTCAACATCAGTCGCAAGAGCTACAGCATTGAATCACTTTAGCCTCTGTAAATTTATATATTGTATTACTCCGAACACATGTACAATAATAGTCTTAGTCTTCAAGTTAATTATTAAGCCCGAAGGTCCATGCCTAATAGCCTGCAAACAGGCTTGCTATTTACGAGTATCTATTTCAATGTAACTATAAATGTCAATATATCACACCACTCCCCCCTTTAAAAGTATTATGTGTATTTTTCTGGAGGTCTTCGAATTCTTTCTGGATATCTTCTCTCTGGTTGCATTTCCTCTTCTCTGCTGTCAGATTCACTGTCCTCACTGGTACCCAGTGCTGGGTGTCCGACCCCATTCTTCTTTGGTGGATTCCTTGACTTTGGTTTCTTGACAGGTCGAATCTGATAAGGTTTAAGGTAATTGTAATGGACAATTTCTTCTTTAGTTCCATTATTCCTTCTCACTACATAAGATGTTTTGGTTACCGACGTGGGCTTTACCACGACATAGGGTCCCGTCCACCGATCTGCAAATGTTTTTGCTCGTAAATTTCTTTTCCAAACTTGTTGACCCACCCCCAACGATTTAAACGAAGTTTTACTGTTGTACCGTTCTCTGCGTTTTTCCGCTAACTTGGCATCGGACTCTTGTGCTTTTTGGAATACCTCACTAACAGTCTCGCGCAGTCGTTCCGTTTTCTCTCTAACCGTTGCTGGTGATATCTTCTCTGTTATAATTTCGAATTTTGATCGCGGGTGCTCCTTGAAAACTAGTTCGTACGGCGAAACTCCTGTACTTGTATGAACTGCTGTGTTGTATGCTAGTTGTACGTCAGGTAGGTGTTGAGACCATCGGTTGGGATGTTTATCTACCAATTTTGTGAGTGCTTCCCCCATCGTACGATTAATCCGTTCTACACCCGCGTTTCCTTGTGGCCTATAGGGTGGACTGAAAGTATGCTCAATGCCTTGGGTTATGCAAAACTGTTCAAATGTTTCGCTTATGAAACAAGGTCCATTGTCAGAGTGCACTTTGTTTGGTAAACCATATCTTGATATCCAACCCATGAGTGTCTTACAAACAACTTGGCTGGTTTGTCCTCGAATTGGATGCATCTCTGCATATTTTGTACATGGATCTGTTATCACAACAATATTGTCAAATCCCTCTTTCGTTCTCGGTAATGGACCCTTGAGATCTACTTCTATCAACGCAAATGGTTTCTCTTCTTTTGGTCGTTGATGAATGGGTGCTTTTCTATGTCCCTGGGCAAGAGTAGCAGCACAGCGTTGGCACGTTTTTGCATAGTTCTCTACTTCTGCTTTCATCTTTGGCCACCAATAATGAGGTTCAATTCTTGCAAGCATTTTATCTGCTCCTTGGTGCCCTGTTTCGTCATGAGCTAATGATAATATGGTGGGAACAAGCGATGCTGGAAGTAACACTTGCTTCTTATGATCTCGTGTGAATAAACCATGTTCGTTTCGGTGAGTGGAAATATGTGGCTTAAGGGTTGGGTCACGTTCTTGCTGCAATTGGAAATCATTTATGTCCAACCTTACATCCTTGCATGGACCAATCTCGTCTTGAGAGCCACCAATAGTAGCCACTTTACTAGTATCCTCATCTCTCTCTTCCCACTTGACATTCCATCCGATCCGACTAAGAGCATCTGCCATGTGATTATCCTGCCCTCGAATAAACTCTATGCGTGGTTCGAATTCTGCTATATCTCTCATCAATGTCGCTCTTCGTCCAAATGGATCTTTCTGTTCCAGGATCTTTAGAAGAGGTTTGTGGTCGGTCCTCATCACTACTTGTGCTCCTAACAGATAATACCGAAAATGCTTAAGCGTGTCTCGCATAGCCATCACTTCTCTGTCATAAGTTGGATATGAACGTTCTCGTTTGGTCAATGCACGACTGAAATATGCAACCGGATGTAATTGTCCTTGTGCATCTTCTTGTGATAGTTCACCACCCAGACCCACTTTACTTGCATCCGTGGTAACAACAAAGGGTCGAGTGGGGTCAGGATGGGCTAATACTGGAGCTTTAACCAACTCATGTCTTAGTGTATTGAATGCATCATCTTGCTCCTTACCCCAAGTGAATGTGACATCTTTCTCCAAAAGCCATGTTAATGGTCGAGCAATTGTACTAAAATCCTTGATAAACTTCCGATACCACCCAACTGCACCCAAAAACATTTGCACCTCTTTAAGACAAGTTGGTGCAACCCATGCACGAATTGCCTTTACTTTATGTTCCTCTGGCTGCACACCCTTGTTGCAAACTTTGTGTCCAAGAAATTTCACTTCTTTCATTGCGAAAGCACATTTCTTAGCTTTAACTCGTAATCCATGCTGTCGCAATGCATCAAATACTCCCTGGAGATTTACCAAATGTTCCTCAAACGTTTTGCTAATAATACAGATATCATCCATGTACAATGCCAACCGATGTGGTGGAATGTGTCCTAGAACCTTCTGCATCAACCGAGAAAAAGTTGCCGGACTTCCTTTTAAACCATATGGCATTCTTGTCCATTCCCAAAACCCAGTAGGTGATCGAAATGCTGTCTTTGGTCGATCTTCCTTGGCCAGTGGGACCTGCAAATAACCTTGGGCCAAGTCAATAACACTAAAATAGTTAGCACCTGATAGATTGTCTAGAACCTCTTGCAAATTTCCAGTTGGATATGGGTCATTCTGGGTAATTTTGTTAAGTGGTCTGTAGTCTACACACAATCGAACTGTTTTATCTGGTTTCAATACAGGTACAATTGGAAATGCCCAAGGGGACTTAGAGGGTGTCAAATGTCCCGACTTTACATGGTTTCCTACTGCTTCATTAATTTTTTGTGTTAACCCCAGGTTGTGTCGTCTGGGGTGGCACACAATTGGATCAGATACGGCTGTGGGTATTGTGTGCTCTATTGTTGTGGTGAACCCACTGTTTCCTGGGTAGTCGAAAACTTGTGTATTTTTTCGAATTAAAACTTATAGGTTTTCTCTTTGTTGTGTTGTCAATTGTTACCCAACTGATACTTCTGGGACCGGGTCATATTGTGATGATGGATTATTTCCCCCCATATTTGACTCTGAAATATGTGCTATGTTGTGGGTACTTGGCAGTTCCTGAATTATGGCCGCAGTTTGTTCTCTATAAACTCTGATTGATTTATCAGTAGTATTCAGTACGCATATGGGGATTTTATTTTCATCGTTCATCATTTCTGCCGAAATCTTTATCGGGGCTGTAAGAAGCCCAGTTCTCTGCTGAAAATGTTCCGTACCTTCGATATACGAATCTCTAGTAAATTTTTCATTCTTATCTTCCAATTTACCCCAAATGAATATTTCTTCAAATGGCTTAATAACACGACTTTCCGCAACTCGTATGTGGCAACACTTTACACCATGTGGCAACGATACACCCAATTTTCCCAAAGAGTCCAGGCCCAGAATCCCGTTTTGAACACCACTTACCACAAAAAAACTCAATATACAACTATTTGTCCCTACCGTAACTGATGTTTCAACCACACCTCTGCATTCTGCGTGTGTCCCATTAGCCATCTCTACGTGACGTGTAGTTGGTTGAATTTTCATGTAATGTTCTTGTGCTAACGCCGTTGGAATAACTGAAACCTCTGCTCCAGAATCACAAATAAACTCATGCTTGAACTCTCTGCTTCCAGACTGAACCACTGTACCAGTTAGTGTAATAAATTTCTTCGCGGCTGAGAACGAATTTATTTTTGCTGACGATTGTACCCAGCCGCCTTGGAGTTTAAAGACGGCGAAGGGCGAGGGCTTGGAGCATGGCAAGATGGTGCTGTATGGCCCTTTTGCCAGCAGCGTTGACAAAGATCTTTAAATGGACAGTCTTTCCGAAAATGTTCAGGCGACTGGCAGTGGAAACACGCTTGATTTTTACCGGTTTTTCCACTCCTAGGTTTTGGCGGGAAATTTCTCTTTCCAACGAACCCGACCGTACGTTTTGTTTCGTCCTCCGTTTCCCGACTTCCATCGTTTTCTTTGGATAGGGCGGCTGCTACCTCTTCTCTGATTATCTTTCTTAACGATATTTCGTCTGCTTCCCCTGTCGTTTACTTCGAGGTTTACTTTTGGCGCTGTTGTTTTATAAATTAGCTCGAGCCGATCTAATTCTTCAGAAAGTTGTGTTAAATTTAAATCTCGATGTTTACTGTCGCTCTTTATCTTTCGACTCATTGCATTGTCAATAGCTCCCAAAAAGGTATCATGTAACATTTGTTCCTTTGTTTTCTTTTCGATTCTCCACGCTAACTGTGCTGGTGTTTCACCGCCTTTTCGCCTTAAACCTCGTAATTCGTCGACAGCTTTCTCATGGTCGATCGATTCTTTGTCGAACTCCTTCCTTAAAGCGGCTCTAACTTCTTTTGGGTCATCTTGAAGTTCATCGTCTATTCTCGCAATACATAGAAACGCCGCCCCCTCGAGTTTACTCGCTATGGCGTGAGCTTCTTGTTTACCTTCTAATTTCTTTGTAGAACAATAGAACTTCATTTTCATAAGCCACAAATCTACATCTCCCGTACCGTTATAACAGGCTTGTTTTATTTCTGCCATTTCCGACAATTTAAAGCGAGAATCACCGCTGCCACCACTGTAAATTTATATATTGTATTACTCCAAACACATGTACAATAATAGTCTTCAAGTTAATTATTAAGCCCGAAGGTCCATGCCTAATAGCCTGCAAACAGGCTTGCTATTTACGAGTATCTATTTCAATGTAACTATAAATGTCAATATATCACATCTCCTCCGCAGACAACTCTTTGGCAAAAATGTAAATATTAAAAAATTGGCAAAAATGTAAATATTATAGGGTTACGCTCTCCAATCCCTAACTTTAAATTCGCTGTTATTCATAATATTTTTGCCAAAGAGTTGCCTACTGAGGAGGCTAGAATTACTTTAGTCTAGAGTAGCCCGCTCTGGACGACCCAAGGATATGGCACTCAGGCTGTGAGTTTTGGACATCAGATCACTTCAGAGCAGCGTAAATCCAAGAACATGTACTTCTGTATCATATAATTATAGGCTAGATCACTTGTCACTTTGAGATTTAAATGAATTCCTAATTACATTATATTCTTAATTAAAGCCAGTTACAGACGCGCAAGTGTTTATATGGAAAGTTTTTTTTTTCCAAGTGCACGTGTATATGTCATAGATATCTATGGTATATGTGCAACAAATGTTCTATGACACGTTTTTGGTTTTCTGACCACCACGATAGCTATTATTACCCATTACAACAACAGATAGCTGACCAACTTCACGATCACACACTAAGCTTTCTCAACCTCCGCATTTTCAAAAAAGGCCCTGGGAACGAGGTTGCAAGCTTTGTAGTTATATATGCCAATCTGCGTAATGGTCAACACTGAATGTAATGAATGATTCCAGCTATAGACTAAATTTTGATACAGACAAGAAGGAGCATTATATAGCTTGAAAGAGCATCCTTAAATTAGTAAAATTGCCAAATTTGGTTGCAAAATGTTGTAAAATACGGAAAATATAGTTGTGTGGAAATTAGCAAATTTTGAGTATTTTAGTATATTAAACGCGGGAAAATGCACCATGCACTTTTGAGCCGGGACCAAACTTTGCAATTTTACTAATTTTAGGATGCTCCGCTGAGCTATAAAAATATATTTCGTCTTCCTTGTCTATAGACAAAAAAATAGTCGATAGCTGGAACGATCCATTGTAATAGATGAAATGCAACAAAACAGACCGATCAAATTATTTTTTCACGAACGATGATCCGATATCTGTGAAATCCTAAAATAGCGCGTGGCGAAAAATTAATGACGTTGAGGCTTGACAGAATTAACATTAAATATCGACTATAATTATTATTACGGCTCCCGTAGGTAACAGTGATTCCTATATCACTGATGGGATTACCCTATCAAAATAAAAGTTTCATATCATATCATGCACGTCCATTACTAGAAATTTTAGTCAGTTATATGACTTATATACAAGCTAAAAACTGCTCTATAAGACGTTATTAATTAACGTTATTTCTGTACAGCTAAAAAAGCTAATTAATCAATTAATTAATTAAGTCATAAAGAAATTTACAACGTTGCATTACAAATATATTTAAGCATTACTTTCGAAAGCCATTGTCTTGAAACTAATTCGACCATCTGTTGATGTATTCTGTCTCTCACCACTTGAATTACGACACCATTTCGTAGGGTTACCATACTGTAGAAAAAATATTACGTATAAGTTATAGAATTGAATTAACATAACCAGGTTCAGTGTTAATTATATGGTAAAAAATATGGTGCACCAACGCAGTAATTGCTTCAATTTTATTGTAGCGTTATTAGATCAACACTGGAATATGGAGATGTGTTATGGCATGGGGGAAAAACTAGCGCACAAAATCTAGATATCGAAAGAATACAGAAAAAAGCGTTCAGGTTAATCTTGCCTGGTTTTGTTATTGCGAAGCGTTAGATCATCTCAAGATACAAACATTAAGAGAAAGATGCGAGAAGCACTGTGTGGAATTAATAACAAAATTATCTTCACCAGAGCACCGTTTGCACAATTTACTCCCAGAAACTATAGGTCTAATGTTGATATGTACTATAACTTTAAGCACAACAGACTAACAGAGAGATTTAAGAACAGTCCCCTGGTGGACGCTATTAATACCTATAATAGCATTTTAGCGTAACTCAATTATATATGGTTCTAAGAGATGATTTTTTAAATGTACTAAGGGCCCCCCCCCCTACTAAATAGACCTTTAGTATAGCAATTCTATAGTCCAATATGTAATCTACAACTTAACTTCTTACAGCAAGGATAGTATAATCGAGTAATTGATGTAATTCACTAAAACTATTTAAAAAAAAATTTAATTTAACTCGGTAATTAAGGTTTCTCTTTTTCATGCATGTACAGTATTTTAAATTTAAATTTCCAATAATATAATACAATATACCTAGAACCACATGTGCAGGTATCACTGCACGTCATTCGAATGCTGTTTATTGGTTCTATGTACCGTATTGATTAGGTATAACAGCACAATTCAGCTCTGTAAGATTGTAACCAAATTATAATGTATCACAGACTACTTTCATTCTTCAACAAGATAACTTCAAAATTTAAGATGGCAAATAACCAAATCAGTTTAACTTTGTTTGAAAGCTTCGAGTGGAGAAATGAGAGCAGAACTGATATTTCAAGTACCAAACAAAGTAACTGGCGGTAAAAACCTCGTGGCACACACGTCGGAGCTCCGGCGGCCGCCGGCTTATTTTGAAAAGCTACATTTACAATACAGCAACATTCGTATTGCTTGATACAGATGCAAAATACTGCAACCCTGAAGGGGCAGATAAATGTCATGGTACCCTTGTCCTTTTTAACACTATTGTTTATACAATACATCCCATTGAGAAACCAACACTATACACCAGAAGTCAAATTCAAAAGGTACTCCTCATTCATGAAGGCCAGAAAGTACGAAGGATAAACACCTCAAATTTCAATAACATAGCCATGCAATTTAATAATTAACGCAATTGAAAACACATGGGCTAAAAGTATTGATTTCTTACCTTGATCAAACATAATCCTGATTTAGTTTGTGGATGAGAGTAAGCGTATACATACCAAGCGAGAGCGATAATTACAAGAACTAGAAGGATGACAATTACAGCAATCACACCACCACTGACGCCAGAATTGTCACTACTAGAACACTGTAGGAACAGAAGAACAGTGGGTCAAGTCATTTAGTATGGTATATTCAAAAACTCATTAATAATTCATGAGGAAAACACAAAGAAAAAATCATAAGCGTGTCGTATCTTTATATGCGATAGAAATTTCCCTTGATTTACATAAACTTTAACTTTGATTTTCTCGACTTACACAACGTGTCTTTTCAAAATTACTTCGTCAATGAACTTACTACATCGATCGTTTTTGAAGCAATTTAAAACATGAGCAGCAGTGAGTGTTTTATCCGAAGATACTCGGCTTCTCCTCGTATCTTTATATCTGATAAAACACTTTAGCTGCTCATGTTTTAAATAGTACGTGGAAGACGGAAGAAGTTATTTCGCTAAACGAGATTTCGTCAAAAATTTTGTCTTCAAGATTGGTTTAGAAACAAACTTGGAGTAGGGTTAGGTTAGGATTAGGGCAAGGATTAGGGTTACAGTTGGTGTTTGGAGTAGGGTTAGTGTTAGTAAAACCACTAAAACCGTTGCTTTGTTACGTTTTGTCACTCTGAGGCCAGCGAAATAACCTCTTCCGTGAAAGACACGGAGTACAGAGGCTGACAAAAATTGTTTGCTCAGGATAGAAATCATCGCTCCATGCATCATGCCCTTCTGTACATGCATGTATGTTATACTGAACCAGTGTAACGAAAGAACTAAATTCAGTGCTCTACCCGCCGCCCTCACCCTCCCCGATTCATACGTCCCTGTCCGTATAGGGGCATGCAGTTCACTGTGATATTATTTAAACGTACCGAGTTTACACTATCGTGAAGACACCCAGCGGTCACCCATTCACTGCGATGCCTGTCAATGCCATCTGAACATCTGAGAAAGAAAAGGAGCATACTGTCTTTAGTATAGTTTGACCTATAGCCTGTGTTCTAATTCATCAGGGGTAAGTAAAAATCATTACGCCTTTACGGGCAAATAGAAGTTGCTTTGCACGATCGGGCAAGTTGTTTTAACATCATTTTTCCAGAAATAGATTGCTACACCAAATTGTTTACTTGTTTGTGGTATGCATTCATTATTTAGTAAATCTGCTGAAATTATTGCTGAAATCATTCATTATTACGTCTTCAATACATAAGACTGATTAATCAATCTTTACTGCATGTAATCATCTTTTTCAAATTTTGCAGAAATGCAAGGGCAAAACTAGCCCTGATGGCAAGTGAATTTTATTCCGGGCGACCAATTTTATGTCTAACTTGCCTTATTAGCCCTATTCACATTAGAGACGGACAAGTCGTCTAGACGAACAAATCGTCTCTCAAAAATCGTCTTCACAGACGGACAAGTAGTCGAACAAATTCAGACGTCTTGTTCGTCTAATATTTTGTCCGACACGTTTTCATATCTGATTATTTGTCCGACTAAAAGACGATTTCGAGACGATTTGTTCGTCTAGACGACTTGTCCGTCTTCTAATGTGAAAACGGCTAATCATTGTTACAATTGTTAAAAAATTAAGCTACACCACTTTTCAGGTGCTCAGCCTGACGCCGACATATGAAACACCAACACAGCACATTCATTGAAAGAATACAAGCATTGTACATCAGCCTTGTTGATGACAGTTGCAACGTTGTAACCATAACTGATTAGGCTTCCTGTATAAATATTACAGTGGGAGCAGATGTTGGCACATTGTTGCCAATGTCCTCACCTCTTAATCGCAGGACACCACCTACAATCAAATTTTTCTTGGGTATTCAAACACGTATCACACGACTTAAACATTACACAGTCTAGAAGAAGAATAGAAAATTGTTGATATTTAATTTGTTCTCTATAAAACTCTCACCTCCATTCATAGTATAAATTATTTTAATTCTTTTTCACTTTATATAGGATTATATACGGAAGGTGTTTTTCCTCAATGTTTTTTATTATTTTCGCTACATTTCGGGCAATTTAATGACTACAAATGTAATTTTTGTGATCATTTGTAGTCATTTTTGTTTAATTCGTAGCCTGAAGACGGACAGTTAAACTGCTCGAAACGCAACGAAAATAATAAAATATTGGAAAAACCCTTTCGTATAACATAGAGTAAAAAAGAATTCAAATAATTTATGTTTATACCTAACTCACAACTTTGGATAATTCACATGCTATAAGTTACTATATTCCTCCAATGACAATGTGCAGAATGATAGAATTGAATATATGAACTGAGCAATTAAAGCTGTCTAGGCATTGGATAATGTATATGATTATGCGTGAATAACTCCTAAACATAATTCTAATGCGTAGCTTTGTTCAAATCGACACTTTTGTACCAGTACTAAAACCATCTGCAGAGTTAGAAGTTTGTTTTGTTAGCCATCCAAAGTCGTGTATTGCGTAATGTATTGCGTATGTTTTGTAACATGTAGTCGTTAGTTCATTTCGTTTATTCAAGTATCGGCTTGCACGTCAATTCAGATTTTAGTGCAACAATGCATGCAGAGTGCACATAGCTGCCATACCACCGTCCACTTACTTGGAAAAGGTATAAGGACAAATGCTGCTCCATTCACAACTTTATTTTTCGGAAGTTGAACTCGATCGTATAGATAATAGATAATGTAACGCACAGCACGATCTAAAAATAAACATTACTCATTAGTCTGTTTCAGAACACTGTCATAGTTGCTTCAGCATCCGAATCCTATATATCCAAATCAAGTCATCCCTGTTCCCATGCACATTAAACTAATACAAGCGAAGTTCACTTACTGCAGAAAATCGGTGAGTATCTTGACTCAGAAACTTGAGTAAAATAGTGCACCCACACACACTCAAAACGTTGAGTGAAATTACTCAAAATTATGAGTAAATCCACCAAACTTTTGCAGGAGAAAAGTTTCAAATTTACTCTACTAAAAAAACTTTATTCTACTAACAATCACTAAATTTGCTCTCTTTACTACTCTTTACTACAACTTTACTAAATATTTTGAGCCACTGTGGGTGCATTATTTTACTCAGGTTTTCGAGTCCAAATTTTTTGCAGTGTATAAAACTCAGTTGCAATACTTTAAAGAATGTGTACAATGATGCAGTTAACAGTTGTGTTGATGGCTCATTGTATATATACTGTCTTGTACATTTTAACGTACTGCAATGGTACTGTACTCCAATGGTTGTTGCCGCGTATTTGAAAGTACGAGTTAGAACATGGAGCTCACAAACATTACAGTCGACTCCAACATTCCTTAGTTACAAATATTCCATTCCATCAGTTCGATCGTGTTTCATGAGTCAGTATTATACCAACTTGTCTTGGGGCTCTTTTCCACTCATCGCAAACATCAACTCGCATGTCCTCTGCGAGTGCTTGCATTTAAGCAAAATAAACTGTCGAGCATTGTGATTGGATGAACGTACTCGCCGCGAACTTGCGACTCTTGTGATGAATGGAAAAGTGTCTTTACACTGTAATTATTACAGCAGAATGCGATAAATCGTGTACTTACGTACTGGAGGTAGCGAGTGTTGCAGTCTGGTACTTCTTTTTTCAGCCAAGTACCATGTCAAGGTAGCACGTAAGGTATGCGGTCGCTATTTGCGTATTTACTTTTTGCTGGTGCTATGATTTTCAAGTTGAAAGTATTCAGAACTTTGTCATTTATGTAACGTCATCACAAAATAAGAATTCCACTTACACCATTTTCCATCTATTTTAATGGGACCTTGTCTAATCGTTTCACGTCGATAGGTGTCCGAAAGACCAACACGTACAAAGAAGTCATTTGTCCTTCTTAATTTATCCACTGGTTTAGGAATCTAAAAATGAAAAAAATAATTCAAAAACTCGTGGTAAAACGAATCCCTAGACAAGTTTAACTTACGCATAGCATCAAGCATGAATAAAAAACCTGCATAAAAGAACCTTGTGGATGGGATAGGACTTTTTGTCAGACTGGAGAGATTCTTATATAATGTGTACTTATAGTGAGAAATCAGGCTGAGTTGGTTCTTAATTGGTTGTTGTTTCTAGTCAAAAACAATTGTTCCTGGTTCAGTGTTTTAAATTATTTGTTTCCTTAATTAGTGCGGAGGTTGGCAGTATTACATTAATAATTGCTATTCAAAAGCCTTAATTCTATGGCAAATCCTCAAAGCCGAGACACACAGGACGCGATTCGACAATGCGACGCGATTTTTCAATTTTCTAAAAGTTAATAAAACATGCCAATGAAAGGAAATTTTAAAAGATATGTAGACCAAATACAACTCAAAGTGTTATACTGCTTCTAAATATTTGGAAAACGTAAACCAGGATCAAAGTTATCGGTCAGTAAAAATCGAAAAATCGCGCCGCGTTGTCGAATCGCGTCCGGTCTGTCCTGACTGTTACCCTCCCTGTTCGTGTTAAGTCAGTGTGAAAAATACAGCTATAAACTATGATTCGGAATTTACCTTCGTTTGCCTCTCTTCAGAGAATGGGAACTAGGGTGGTTTGCCCAACGTATTTAAAGTCGCCTAAAAACGGTTGTTATGCAAGGAGAAACGCAAGGAGAAACAATGCAAGGAGAAACAATGCAAGGAGAAACAATATTTTTTATTAACAATATTATTTATTAGTACCATCAACAACTCACATTTTTATAAGCAAAAATCAAAGTTCCATTCTTGAAGATAGAACATTGAAATGAAAATTGTATATCTAGGTATAAAAAAACATGTCAAAAAACCACAGTCAATCACATTAGCACAAGGACATGTAATAATCGTTCATCATATCTGACCTGGCGACTCGTCTCTCACTCTCATATTCGCCCACTCCACTGTTAGTCGATCTCCTATAAAACATAATAATATAATTCTAAACTTAAACCAAGTCAACCACATCATTTCCTACAGAAATAACACCGCGGTCAAACATAAAGCACATGCGCGAGAAATGCCGGGGGAAATATCTGCCATAATGATAGGAGTAAATACGGGAAAAGTGTATATACTTACTATAAGGAAATGGCAGAATCTATAAGGTATAGGGAATTTCAGCGCTTTTTCCTTGTGTCAAGACGAAGTTATAGTGAGTTTAAACACTCGTCATTTTCTCGAAACGTTTGGTGGAGCTTTGTGAACACAATACTATTTCCAGTCTTTTGAATACAAGAATAAATACGCGCAGACGTTTGATCGTGGTGTTTATAGGGGTAGAATTCCACACTCGTCCCCAGTCGCTCATCCCGCAGCATTTCCACGAGCCTAGGCGTGTTCCACTTTTCTAACCCGCAAGCGCCTGCATTATTTTAATTTCTCTGAAGCAAATCTGAGGGACTGTGGAAGAGTCATGTACAATTCTGTATTTATGCAGAAACAGGATATTTGTGAAAGCCAGCAGCACTAAAATTTTTTAACAAAATATCTTCTTACAGGACATTTTTGTGATCCTCTATATATATAGTGGAATACCATATAAAGCGTTTTGCAAGTCGAGATTGTCTTGTGCCGAGATGGACATTTTACCACACTGTGCGGCACCATACGTTCTCTGAAATTTACACAGGCAAGAAGTTCTATATTTTTGACTTACACAGGAAATTTTTAGTTTTAGTTTTTGCGGCCAAAAAGAGAAATATAGCCTGGGCCTCATTCAGAATAAATGCAATATATACCTGTGTCAATGTAGCGAATAGAAGTCTTATCATGCAGGTCGGCGCCAAAGTCAGCCATCAAAGGCGCAGCATACTGCGCTGATGCATTAAACTTGTGCAGCCTCTCTCCCAGAAACACATAGCCTAAAAACACAAAATTGATAAGCACGCTAATACATTATCGGAAGATAATAAAACGAGACTTTTTATTGTGAGAGGTTCTTTTAGGCATCGATTTGTAAACCATCGATGTTCCACGTCCTATGTAATTCTACACGGTGTATAAAAAACTAAACGGAAAATTTAGAGAATGTTGGCAAAACGTTCAAGAGAATACATTTCATGGAAAGTTTAAAACACAATTTGAAGTCATTATATGAACTGTTATAAAGGACAAAATAATTTACTCCACGCTAATTAAAGTACTTCACTAAAACTTGTACATTTTTGAGATATAAGGCTAGGCCAAGGCTAGGCCAAGGCTGGTAGTGTAAACACGACTCATGACAGTTGGCGGTCAAACGCGAGCGAGAGTTGTAATTCTCATAACAATGAGTAAATATTTACTCAAAATGTTGTGTAAATGATGTATTTACCGAGTATTTTGTGTTAACACAATAATTTGAGTTAAAAATTTACTCCTATTTTTGTATTAAACTTACATATAAATTGAGTTGAAAGGAAGATTTTACGCAAAATCTTGTGTAAATTTACCCATCATTTTTTACAGTGCAGGTTCTATTTTATACATTAAATTTCTTTCAAGCTTCAGGATCTTTCCTGTAGAGTGTGAAAATTATTCTGTATTTCCTAAGACAGAAAATGATTCTGTATGGGGCGGATTTTGATTAGAAGGAGTAATTTTTGGGTCTGGGAGGGTTAACATAACATACTATTTCTAGTTATATACCGTAATTACTCGAATAAACGCCTCCCTCGAATTAACGCCGCCCTCGAATAAACGCCGCAGGGACAAGCAAAAATATTATTAAACGCCGCCCTCGAATAAACTCCGCATTATTTCTCATCGATGCGGCGTTTATTCGAAGCATTCATAACATATGAACTTTATTCTTAGTTTTTTGGGTTAAGTGTTGAAGTTGAGTTTTAATTAAACAATAAATGCACACTTGTTGTTACACAATTTGCAATAAACGCCGCCCTCGAATAAACGCCGCACCTTGGGCGCCAAAAATTTAATAAACGTCGCGGCGTTTATTCGAATAATTGCGGTACGTGATTCAATCTAAGTTATACAGTATGTACTATTTAAAACACGAGTAGGAGTGTTTTATCGGATATATAACGCGAGGCGCAGCCGAGCGTTATATATCTGATAAGACACGACAACGAGTGTTTTGGATAGCTTAAAATACGACTACAAAAGAATACTAATTAGGATGAACCATAGTATAATCATGCTAATTAAGATGAACAATTATATAATGCCACATGTGTTTTATCAGATATAAAGTCACTCCACGTGATATACTATGGCTGACATGATTTGCCACAAGGTTTATGAATTATTAATGAGTATTTTAAAGTCTGATACAGTCATCCAAGTATCAAAAACTAACACATGCATTTCGGCAAGATTCCAATCCCACCTAGTATAATTACTGTGGGATTGGTATTATTGTCCGATACAGTCATCGAGATACCAAAAATTAAAACATGCATTTCGTCAAGATTCCAAACCAACTAGTTTAATTACTGTGGGATTGGTATGTGGGCCCTGAAGGGGTAAAATGGGAAATGGGATTGATCTAGTTTTAGACTGGGAAAATGGGATTTGGGTTGCTGGAACTGGGATTTGGCCACTGGGAATGGGAAATGAAGTCCTCAAAAATGGGAATGGGATTGAGGTAATGCAAGTCGATTCCCAATTTTTCTACATTTTAAGTGTTTTAAAATACAATTTTGATCCGTTTTCGGTGTCTTTGGTCATGATTTTTGTTGTTAACTAGTTATATTATTCACAGCACTACCTGTGAACAGGAATAGTCTAGCGCCCGGAATTCTGGGTTTTCTGATTATGCGTGTCCCAGAATGCTGCAAATGCCATTTCCGGGATTCAAATTTAAAAATTTTCTGTGCGTTCGGGACGAGCCTCCCCCCCCCGATATTTCATAAAGTGTCCACCACTTGCACACAGGGTGGCTTAAAAGGTCTTAAAACTGTTTATTCTACCGATAAATAAAGGGTTGTTTATTGACTGGGATTTCAATAAGTCGAACTGGGATTTCTAATAAAAATCCAACTGGGACTGGGATTTTGCCAAAATTTCAGGTGGGAAATGAGATTGGGACCCCCCCCCCCCTTCAGGACCCTCTGGTATTGTAGTCTAAAACAGTCATCCAGATATCGATGAATAAAACATGCATTTTGTCAAGATTCCAATCCCAACTAGTATAATTACTGTGGGATTGGTATTATACTCTGATACAGCCATACAGATATCAATGAATAAAACATGCTTTCGTTAAGATTCCAATCCCAACTAGTATAATTACTGCGGGTTTGGATGAATAAAACATGCATTTCGTTAAGATACCAGTCCCAACTAGTACAAGTTCTGTGGGATTGGTATTATAGTCTGATACAGTCATCCATAATAGCTCATGCACTTGTATTAAATTAATTTCGCCGCGAAATATAATCCGCGCGAAAGCTTTATGGTGTAATATGAGTGTATGAGTTTTGGTCATGTGTCGTGCGTCGTGGGTAAAACGTCGTGCGTGAAAGTCGTGGGTCGAGAAATGCTGTAAGTTTCTATTTTTTCGCTCAGACACTGGTTTTGCTAAAATAATTTCTGTTTCAGCAAAACGCGTGTTAGCGATCAAATGCCCAACTGAATATTTAACCGAAATTTTTCATATTATGCGTTCGAACTTCGAACTAAAGTCAAGAACGCAGCATGATATGGCCAGGCGGCAAGTAACTAAGTGGCTCTTGTGACGTAATTAAAAGAAACTTTAATTACATTGCCTAAAACACCTAGTAATCCGACTCAAAAATCCAACAAAAAACAAGCATAAACATCTAGTAATCCGACACAATGTTCATATTTTAGCTGCTTTGAATCGATTTTTGCTCTACTTATCATTGAAGTTATAAATTCGTTTCAGGACAGTAGCAACTGGCATTCCACTGGACGGAAAGCTCAACTTCAAGTAAAGATCAATATTGTCGGGGATTGCCTTACTTTGTTTTAAAATAAATACACGGCATAAAAAATCACGTTGGCTTTGGTGATAATATAGCTTCGAACCATTGGCACGGGTTGGATTTCATGCCGGCGGATTCAATTCCACAGATCTTAACATTTTGTTTAAGGATTTGTGATTCCATAAGCTGCATGTTTACAGCCTGTCTCAAAACTTAAACAAGTTTTTCGATATGAATTATAAGTATATAACCTGTGAAAGGACCAATGCGATTTATCGAGTTTTTGTGATGATTTATAAAATAAAACAAATATTTATGGATCAAGCTAATTATGCAATCATAAAAAAATGGAGTGTGAAATTTCGTTGCGTTAGCACATTGTTTTGGTTTTTTTAGGAAACTCAACTATTTGATTTAACACGGCTTGCTGTGTACAAAACTGGCTGTTACACAACGATGCTTAGCGAGTTATTTGGTATAGAGAAAAAAGTGTTCAAATTTTGAGACCTTATAATTAAAGTGAGTTCCATTATTTAATATGTGTGCGATATATATTAAATACTCATGACTGGGAGCAGGAACGCCGGAAAGGTGGGGGAACAGGGGGGCACTCTTGCCCTTTAGTAAAGGGTGAAAGTGCCCTTAGATAAAAATTTCAACAGCTATGCAAAGAAAAATGAGGGATAATGTCTAATGACTAAAAAAGTATGAATTACTGGTGAAATGGACGTAATAAGGAATTGCGTCACAACATTCCTTTAGTCACTTGCCACGATATGAAAAATTTCGGTAAATATTCAGTTGGGCATTTGATCGCTTACACGCGTTTTGCTAAAACAGAAATTATTTTAGCAAAAGCAGTTTAGAGCATTTTTCGACACACGACTTATACGAACGACGCACGACACTTAATTGTGAGTAATGCTTATCAGTTGATTTGTTAACTGATTTCCGTCACAATCCGCGACAGTATCAGTTGGAATTAGTTGGAATTGGTCGGAATCTTGCCAAAATGCGTGTTTTAGGACCAAACTATAATACCAATCCCGCAGTTTCATATTAATCTGACACTGCAATCGAACAACGAAAAATTCGTTGGCTCGAGCGGGATTTCAGTGAACTCGCATCTTCGGGTATCTAGACCGCCGCTCTACCCATTGAGCTATCGAGTCAACAGGGATTGGTAGCGAGTCTTATCCAATTTAAGTGCACGAAATATTTTCGTGACTAGTTTTTCCTATCTCTGAGGATGGTTCTGAAATCCCGCAGTTATTATACTAATTGAGATTGGGATCTTACCAAAATCACGCCAAAATGCAGGATTTTTTGTGCGTAGCCGCGGATGCACAGCTAACCACTATGTGAGAGACTGAAGCGCGATCTTCCGTGGCTCTGTTTCTCTGTGGCTCTGTAGCCTTCGTGTCCGCGGTGTCCTGCTGCGCAGTTCCTTTTATCCTTGGAAGTTGGAATACGAACCGTCTATAGACCACAGGCTACGTTCACTAACGCTCATACTGTACAGAGATGTGTATAAATTCTTAATAAAGTTTTTATTGTAATGTGTTTTGTCAGGTCGATAGTCATTTCCAACGCATATAGAAGAGTTTATCTATTGGTCGAGTGTCGAGGGTTAAATGTCGAGGGCGAGGGTAAAAAGTCGAGGGCGAGGGTAAAAAGTCGAGGGTGAGGGTAAAAAGTCGAGGGTAAAAAAAGTCGAGGGTTAAAAGTCGCGGGTAAAAAGGCGAGGGTAAAAAGTCGAGGGTGAAAAGTCAAGGGTGAAAAAAATAACAAAAAAATACAATATTAAGGTCAGGTAACCGCTTTGGTACGGCCATAGATGTCTACGTGTCTTCTCGGCAGCGTTGTTATATGAGCACTTCTAAACCAAATATAACCAAACCTATAATTATATACGTTCCACGCACATATACTATATACGACACGTGGCGTATTCTGCGTTTTAAATGTAATATGCCACAGCGTGGCTTTGCGTCCTGATGCATTTGCATGCAGCCGTGCAGACAGCAATGCAATCAGTTATATATTGTTTATTTTCTACACATACAGAATATATTACATACTAAGGAGGGCTCTTTAAAACAAAGCGCCCTGCTTTAACCGGCAATATTAAAATAAACCGATAGTAATGTAGGGGCACTGAATTTATATCGCAACTTGATATATATACAAGGTTCTTTTTAGTATACTGTATGCGCTTAATTAAATAATCGGCTAAATTATTATTCCGCAAAGCAGATTGAGGTGATGAGTAACTTCTTTTTAGGGCTTTTGATTGCATGGGAAAATAACCCTAGTACACCTTGCGCGCTCAGTCTCAGAGTTTAAGGTTTGAGATTTTTAATTGAAACAGCTGTAATTATAGGAGATGCTACAGGAGAGGCTACATCCTCATCAGAACTTGCTGACAGTACAGCATCGGAATCATAATTCGTCTGAAAATATTTTCAGCGAAATTGAAAGCGAAATATCGATCAAATAAATTTTAAGCCAAAGAACAGAATGCAAGATGCAAGTAAGGACTTAGGATATATGAGGCGTGATATCCGCCAAATATGTTTATTCGAGCCAGTGGATGGCGGCATGTCGGATATGTCAATAACCTGACATGCCAATAAAGGCGAACGTCCCAACATGTGTGCGTGAAACGCATATTATATAACAATACTGCCGAGAAGACACGTAGACGTCGCTATGGCCTTACCCGAAGCGGTTACCTGGCCTTAATATTGAATTTGTATTTTTTTGGTGACTTTTTTACCCTCGACTTTTTACCCTCGACTTTTTACCCTCGACCTTTTACCCTCACCCTCGACTTTTTACCCTCGACACTCGACCAATAGATAAACTCCATATAGAATCGAATATGTCGTTGTTTTTATAATCACAGCTTGTACAAGGGTCATTGGGGTTAATATTAGCCACGGGGTCTGTTTTATATCGTGTAATGTCATATTTAAACACGATATATCAGTTTGATCAAACATTTTATACGTATTAGAAAAATATAGTAATTAATGATATAGCGCGCGACGATTGGATATATTTACGTTAGTTTATATCGAAGGAATGTTGACGAACATATAGGCATATAGAATCAAGTATGTCGTTGCTTACATATAAATGTTTGTAAGGCCACGTCAATGACGTCATTGGAATCGGGTTAGTCGAAGGGCCGTCGAATGTGTAGGTTAAGGCAAATAGAAAGCCAAGCATGGTTTACACAAGGATTAGGCAGTGGAATATTAGCACACGAAGTCTTTGGGATATATTTGTCGAATATTGAAAGCAAGTTGAATGTCATTATCAATATACATATGGGATCGAATATGTCGTTGTTTAATTAATTCAATCATCACTAAATAAAGAATATGTTTATCTTTTTCAACTCCGCCGGAAAACATCGTCCTTAGATCTTTGCATGGACTATCCTTAAAACTCAAATTTCACGAAAATTGTATATACGCAGCCTGTAAACCTGATCCTTTGTCTTTGATGTGTGCTGTCCTTGAACAAGAACTGTTACTGTTCTTGTCTTAAGTGTTTTTCGTACTGTCTGTATTTCGGCGTGTGAAGTATTTTGTTTCGTATACATATTAAAGCTGATCGACCTTGTACTGTTCAGTGTGCAAATTATTTTTGACACATTGAAATACTTTGTAAGTTGTAACTTCTTATATCTGTTTATGCTTATTGAAAAATGCACGTAACAGTCGTTTACGTATTTTTGTCATATCTGATGTTCAGTATGTGATTAAATGTGTGTATAATCTTTGAATTGTGTTCAATTTACTTAATACTTTCTTTCAGTAAGTTCGGAATTTGACAATAGCAATTAAGGTGGAGTAATATACTAATATGGGCGGGGCAACAAAATTGCTCCAACTGGCAACAAAATCTGCTTTCTGCGCATGTTAATTGAAATGTTTTCTCAACATTTCTACTTAAAATGCGTTGAAATCAGCTTTTGTTCCAGAAATTTTGTTGCAGCAATTTTGTTGCAGCAATTTTGTTGCGCGTATTACTCCAGCTTAAACAGCTTTAACAACAATTAATGCAGGCTACCCACATGTACGCAGCGCGTACCTATTTTTTTACATAACTACAGGGGTCTGTGGAATTGGAAATTGATCCTGTCCGACAGATATAAAAAAATAACGTACATTTTGGCAAGATTCCAATCCGAACTAGTATAATTACTGAGATATTTGATATATAATGTCATCCCCACCTCTATATATAAATAAATAAGTAAATAAAACATGCATTGAAATTCAGCGAGATTCCAATGTCTACAAGTATAACTACTATGGGATTGGAATCTTGGGGAAATGCATCTTTTATTTTGACATCTGGAAGACAGGATCAGGTTATAATTCCAAACCCACAGACACAGTATTTATACTAGTTGGGATTGGAATCTTGTCGAAATGCATGTTGAAGTTATTGATATATAGAGGACACAATAGTATTGACTCTATAGTAGGGATTGGAATCTTGCCGAAATGCATGTTGCAGTTATTGATATATAGAGGACACAATAGTATTGACTCTATAGTAGGGATTGGAATCTTGTCGAAATGCATGTTGAAGTTATTGATATATAGAGGACACAATAGTATTGACTCTATAGTAGGGATTGGAATCTTGCCGAAATGCTTGTTGCAGTTATTCATATATAGAGGACCGAGTAGTTCCAATCCAACAGTAATTATACTAGTTGGGATTGGGATCTTATTGAAGTGCATGTTTTAATTTCTAATATCTGCATGACAGTATAAGACTATAGTTCCAATCCCACAGTAATTATACTAGTTGGGATTGGAATCTGAACGAAATGCACGTTTTATTTATTGATATCTGGATGACTGTATCAGACTACTACCTATCCCACAGTAATTACAGTATACTAGTTGGTATTGGAATCTTGACGAAATGCATGTTTTAATTTTTTGTATCTGGATGGCTGTATCAGACTATAATACCAATCCCACAGTAACAGTATACTAGTTGGGATTGGAATCTTAACGAAATGCATGTTTTATTTATTGGTATCTGGATGACTGTATCAGACTATACTACCAATCCCACAGTAATTATACTAGTTGGGATTGGAATCTTAACGAAATGCATGTTTAATTCATTGATATCTGAATGACTGTATCAGACTATATTACCAATCCCACAGTAATTATACTAGTTGGTATTGGAATCTTGACGAAATGCATGTTTTAATTTTTTGTATCTGGATGACTGTATCAGACTATAATACCAATCCCACAGTAATTATACTAGTTGGGATTGGAATCTTGACGAAATGCATGTTTTATTTATTGGTATATGGATGACTGTATCAGATTATAATACCAATCCCACAGTAATTATACTAGTTAGGATTGGAATCTGAAGGAAATGCACGTTTTATTTATTGATATCTGGATGACTGTATCAGACTACTACCAATCCCACAGTAATTACAGTATACTAGTTGGTATTGGAATCTTGACAAAATGCATGTTTTAATTTTTTGTATCTGGATGGCTGTATCAGACTATAATACCAATCCCACAGTAACAGTATACTAGTTGGGATTGGAATCTTGACGAAATACATGTTTTATTCATTGGCATCTGGATGACTGTAACAGACTATAATACCAATCCCAAAGTAATTATACTAGTTGGGATTGGAATCTTGACGAAATGCATGTTTTATTTATTGTTATCTGGATGACTGTATCAGACTATAATACCAATCCCACAGTAATTATACTAGTTGAGATTGGAATCTTAACGAAATGCATGTTTTGTTTATTCGTATCTGGATGACTGTATCAGACTATAATACCAATCCCACAGTAATTATACTAGTTGAGATTGGAATCTGAACGAAATGCATGTTTTGTTTATTGGTATCTGTATGACTGTATCTGACTATATTACCAATCCCACAGTAATTATACTAGTTGGGATTGGAATCCTAACGAAATGCATGTTTTATTCATTGATATCTGAATGACTGTATCAGACTATATTACCAATCGCACAGTAATTATACTAGTTGGGATTGGAATCTTGACGAAATGCATGTTTTATTTATTGGTATCTGAATGACTGTATCAGACTATAATACCAATCCCACAGTAATTATACTA